AAAAAAAAAAAAAAAAATTAAAAATAAATAAATAAAAGGTATAATAAACAGGACTTGAAGTTCTAAGCCTTGCCCCTTCTGCAACACAGCCCTCCCTTGAGCTATCAACCTGCCAAACCTCATCAGTCAATTTCAAAGGCTGTGGAACACAAGGAAAGAACAATCCAGACCTGAGGGCCAGGGACCTCAGCTCAGGAGTCAGGTGGGGAGGAAGGCCAGTGTCTGCAGTATAGAGATAGTGCAGGAATGCATAGGCACCCTCGGTGCTCACGTCGCTTAATAGGACGCGCTGGGTCAGAATCCCCTCTTCTACAGCAGAGAAGCCTTCATTGTTCACCTGCATGTGAAACACAACACAGAAGGCTTATGGGTTAGATAGTCATAAATTAGAACGAAGAAGAAAGTCTGAGTGTCCTCAGAGTCAGTCTTATAAACAGCCCCTGTCCCAAGAAAAGCATTAGCCAGTGTTTATACATTTTTTTGGCCAACAGTTCTGCAGGTTAGGCCTAACACATTTGTTGTCAAATCATATCAGGAGCAGAAGTTCAAAAACCCAATTCCCAATTAGTTTCCTTCTGGTGTCCTTCTGGTAGACATATCACAGGCTCCAGAACTTTCTTACAGAGTCTGATAGCAGCTTTCTGGATTCCTGATGTTCAAGTCAAATGTGTATCAGAACATGTCAAAGCATAAGTCTCTGAACACATGTGTCAGCAATTCAATCTTAAAGGGATCAGCTGGGAGGCTATACAAACAGAGGAAAGCAAAAATTCTGAAAACCAAGGATTTTCATTCAACAGAAGAAAAATCTAGTGTTTCCCAATACTGGGGCCCTCCCCTCATGCTCCCTCACACCCCTCCTGATCTCCCCCAAGAGCCTTTGTCTCTACTCCACATATGAAGTATGTATGTATGTGGTAAGTACTGTGGCAGCAGTGGGGAGGTAGGGAGAATGTGGGGAACAAGAAGTAAGGGAGACAAGGAGGAGGCAGAAGCAAACTAGAGACAAAGAAAGACGGGTCAGAGAACGGTGGGAAGGAACAGGGAGGGGGCATGTGATGGCCACCACGTACTTACATACTGACTGAGAAGTGGACATCGGGCATAAAGCACAAACTTGTGGGCATGAAGCATCTCCCCACTGTCTGTCTGGAACTGGACATCACTCAGGTGCGAATTATTGACCATGGCACCAAAGTCAGCAACCAGTAACCCAAGGGAGAGCTGAAATGCATGAGAGGAGGAGAGCTGTCATTTCCATCTGTCATGCTTCTCTGAGCTGTGGGACGCTCCCCCAACGAGGAGGCCCTAGGGTGGGCCAGGAGCCTTGCTCTCCTCTCTAGGATGGTTCCTGTGCTGGGTTATACCTTTGAGTTACTTTGTCATACAGAAGAGCAAAACACTAGCCTCTTTCTCAAATTCTCTAGTGCTATACCCCAATCTAAAGCAGGAGTACAGTAAGTGAAAAGACAGGACAGGAGAAAGCTTCTGGCACCAATGAGGGGTCAGGCTAATGTGCTTCATGTGCTCACGTACTCAGTACTCACAGAGCCCTGTGAAGAAACATCCCAGCCTGCTATGACACATGAGGACCCTGGGTCCAAGCAGCTCAGGCACCTGGCTAAGAGGCAAGCCCCAGGTCTGTTCTCTGAGGATATGCAATGATGTCACTAGGCTCTCTCTGCATGCAGTGTTTGGTTGACACTAGTATCTTAGTGGCATGATATTAGGTCCACTCTGAGAAAAACCTAGCCTCCACCCCCAACATAGAACACTGGCCCGTGGGCTACTCATCTAGGCCCTGGAACCCAGCCCAGACCCACACATGAGGCAAATGAGAAAGGAATAGTCCCAGGACAAGTAGGCTCTGAGTGTTTGACTTCTGGAGTGATCCATAGAGTTGAAAGACAGAAACGACAAAAGCCATCATGGCAGAGAGACAGGCCCCAGTACACTCTCTCTGGCTCTGTTCACAGGCTGTTAATATGTGTCAGCTTTCTGGGAAGCAGAGATGCTTATTGAGAGACCAGCACATTCATGGCAGGGCCTAGAGGCCAGTGGCGAGCTGACTTCACCAAACACATAGTCATACAACAAGCCAGAGTGGCCAGGACCACGGAGTGAGCCGCAGAGCCCAACAGCTAAATGTGTGGTAGGAGGAGCCCTGGTCCTTACCGAAGCATGGCCGCCCCTCTCCAGATGCTTTTCCTTGGGTGGCAGGACAAACCCAGTCAGTGGAAGACCATTAGGCACCAAGTCCAACTCTGAGATAAGGATTTGTAGGTTAAAAGAAGATCACTTTCCAGCAAGGTCAACTGTCAAGCAGATAGCATCATCTGCAGGCTGAGCTTGACCCAGAGGTGTGGAAGCTCTTTTTTTTTATTTTGAGACAGAGCCTCAAGCTGTCCCCCTGGGTAGAGTGCCATGGCATTACAGCTCACAGCAACCTCCAACTCCTGGGCTCAAGCAAGTCTACTGCCTCAGCCTCCCAAGTAGCTGGGACCACAGGCACCCGCCACAACGCCTGGCTATTTTTTGGTTGCAGCTGTCATTGTTGTTTGGCAGGCCTGGGCTGGATTCGAACCTGCCACCTTAGGTGTATGTGGCTGGCGCCTTAGCCGCTTGAGCCACAGGCGCCGAGCCAGAAGCTCTTGTTACTTAAGGATGTTTTTTAGAGCAAACCCCCCTACAAACCATTTTTATCACCCTCCCAACAGGGAGGTAAAATAGTTAAAATTAGCCCAAAGGATCATTTGCTGTGGGTATAAGACTTTGCCTTTGGTTAAAATTTCAGGAAACTGCAACAAGCTTAACTACATTACATTTACCTTTGAGAAAAAAACAAAAGCACCCAGAGACTACACACCCTCCCATTTTCCTGGGATGAGATTATATCACAGAGGCACAAGATCTGGTTCACTCCAGCCTCAGCCACAGGGAGGAGAGGCCCATAAAGGTGGGGCAGGCCCCAGTCTCCCACCCAATGTCTTACCTGCACTGCTTCCAGACTTGGCTAGCCCCCCACTGCCAGGCCATGGGCTGGCACTCAGCCCCTCCCTTGCCAGATCCACCAGGTCCTGCAGGGCCTGGTGTTCCCTCTGGCTGGCTGATGGTGATGGATCCTCAGGGACATTGCTGTGTAGGGCAGGTGGTCTTCCCATACCCAGCTCTGACTGCTCAGCTGGCAGAGGGAGGCCCTGAAAGTCAGCAAGCAGAGTGGCTGTAGGATTACTGTACCAATGCACTGCAGAGGCCACCACAGTGTGCATAGCTGGACCGAGGACCACAGAGCAAGTCCAGGGCTCTGGAGCACAGAGGGTTCCCAACAGCACAGCCATAGCCCAGAGCAGCCCAGGAATGCTTTTCTCCATTACTTCTTGTCAACAGGCTTCTCTAATGGCCAAGACCAGCCCTGTGATATCCATGTCTGAAGAAATTTTTCTTTTTTTTTTTTTGAGACAGAGTCTCACTATGTTGCCCTCAGTAGAGAGCCATGGTGTCATAGCTCATAGCAACCTCAAACTCTTGGGCTTAAACGATCCTTTTGTCTCAGCCTCTAAAGTAGCTGGGACTACAGGTGCCTGCCACAGTGCCCAGCTATTTTTTTTGTTGTAGTTGTCATTGTTGTTTAGCAGGCCAGGGCAGGGTTCAAACCTGCCAGTCCCAGTATATATGGCCGGTGTCCTAACCACTGAGCTATGGGCACCAAGCCTATGAAGAAAGTTTTATCAGAGGGCCGGAAGGGGTCCCTGGGCCTACCCCTTTCCTAACACCTCTTGAATGGCCTCAGTCTGAAGAGTACCAACTCTAGCGGTACCTGCCGTATATTTAGAATGCAGGTTCCTGGGTCCCCTCTTAGATGTTATCCCAACCACCCTGGGGCTCTAAGTTTTAAATAAACTCCAGGTAAGCAGGTATGAATGCAAATAAACAAATAAGCTCCAGGAACACACTAAATTGTGGGAAGCAAGAGTCCTTCATCCTTGCTCTTACTAGAAAGCTATTTAGTCGTTGCACATAGGAATAAACTACAGCTGATGCCCCTTTGGCTTTTTCCCCTCTTTCCTGAGACTTTCCCTCAGCTCAGCTATTGATGCCCGGTTCTGTAATTCTGGAACTGCCCACCTCTCCCCATAGCCCATCCACATAGGTGCCCAGAGGGAAGGGCCTCACCATGACAGGCCCCTGGGGCATGAGGGGAGGGACAAGGTTGGCTGTGTAGAAGGACTCCACAGCCCAGGCTCCGGTCAGGGTGCTGCCCTCCCACAGAAAGTTCTGCTTTCCTTCAGGTGGTGGAAGACACCAGCCTCCCTTTTCCAACTCTTCCTTTAAAATCCTGCTGGCAGGAAGTGGTGGTGTGCTGGAAAATTCTGCTTCCTCAGAAAGGAGCAGGGCCACTTGGTCTTCTATCTGCCTGCCTGTGGTCTCAGAGTCCTGGACCAACAACCTGGGAAGGGGAACCAGGGTTTTCTTCTTGTGACTTTTCTTCTCTAGAGGAAAATAGAAGCAACATGATCAACAGTAGAATCTGTCCACTTGTCCTGAGACCTACCAGTGGTCTCTCCCCAGGGCTACTGCTCTCAGCCACACATACCTGCTCCTGGCCTTACTCTCTCAGAAAAAGCACTTTCCAGTTTGAGTTCTGCCACAGCTGGACACTGCTCCATCTCAGATCGGGACAGCGCCATGGCCACCAGCAGGTCCTCGGAGGGTGCCTCGACAACCTTCTGCTTCTTCTGTGTCTCCTTCTTGTTAGTGGCTACTTTCCGTTTCAAACCTCCCACGTGATTGCTAAAGCTAAAAGGCAGCCAAAGAGAGAAGTTAGTGGGACTAACTGCCTAAGCTCCTTCTGAAGCTGGTCCCATGACTAAAGGGGGCTGCCCCTTCGGACCCATCGGCTGTAAGGAAGCACACGAGGGATGCAGGGAGGAGTGGGTGCTCTGCCCTGAAACCTGTGCCCTGAAACCTGTGCCCTGAAACCTGAGTTACAAATGCCCAAGCTTGGCCTTAGGGGATAGGAGGTTCAAAGACCCCATAAGAGTATCTAGCTCCTGTGGCTTTCTACTCTAACAACCTTCTAGAACAGTGGTTCTCAACCTTTCTAATGCCATGATGTATTTTCGTAGTTACAAAGGGGTCATGACCCACAGGTTGAGCACCTACACTGCTGTTCTGGAAGGATCTACACACATCTTGCTTCACTACTTGGAGATATTTTAAAAGCAGACATATTTTATCTGAGTGGACAGTTTCAGTGCAGTCCTGCCACAAGGCAAGCAATGGCTTAGATAACATTTATTCTAAGGCCTCTAGGATTTCAATGCTATGATACTTGTGTGGATCTGCTAAATACAGATAGGCTTGCTAGATAAGAGAATCCACTTCTGCCCTCTGTGATCTCAGCCCTAGCTCAGCTCAATTGCCCATAACCTGTGTACAAGGCAGTTGGCCAGAACAAATAGAGCCATCATTCTTGGCCTTCTCTTTGCTCCTGTCAAAGGAAGAAGTCCCAAACCTAGAAAGGTCTAGGGTCCAAACTGCCTTTGCTCCCTGTAAAGTCGAGGTCAACTCTGGCATCCTCAGGGGCAGGAGCCATGTGGAACAGAGCTAGCCCAACCTTCCACCACAGGTGGGGCTGTGGTTTGCATGCCAAAGATTTATTGCTCAGATGTCAGCAGGGCCTTCTATTTTAACACTTAAGCATTAATTCATGCAATCTTTAAAAAAAAAAAATAAGAGTTCTGTGCTTCTATCTCACCAATTCTTTGAATTGTGCTGAATAATCTGACATTAACTATGTAATAATTAGACTACACTGAGGCAGAAACCATGTCATACAAGAAAGAAATGGATATGGTAAAGTGAATACCAAATTCTCAGAAACACCAGAAGGGACAGACTGTAGGATTGTGGGACTAGAAACATTTCAGAAGGACCTTGAGGAAACCAGTTCAAATGGTCCTTTCCACAGATACACTTGAATGGGCCATTCCAAAGCCTTCATCCTTCTTCAAGGATGAAGAATTTTTCCCCTTTTAATCCCTTCTAGACTGTGCCTGATTTCTATCTCATATGAATCAAAGAGGCCTCTACTGTCCTCTGACACCATAAAAAGCTTTTTCTTAGGCTAGGCATAGTGGCTCACACCTGTAATCCTAGCACTCAGGGAGGCTGAGGTAGGTGCACTGCTTGAGTTCAGGAGTTCGAGACCAGCCTGAGCAAGAGCAAGAGCCCATCTACACTATAAAAAAGAAAAAAAAAATACACACACACACATATATATACATACAGAAAAACTAGCTGGGTGTTGTGTTGGGGTGCCTATAGTCCCAAGACTGCTTGAACCCAGTAGTTTGAGGTTGCTATGAGCTATGATGCCATGGCACTCTACCCAGGGTAACAGAGTGAGACTTTATCTCAAAAAAAAGTATTTTCTTTTTTTTTTTTTGAGACAGAGCCTCAAGCTGTCCCCCTAGGTAGAGTGCCGTAGCATCACAGCTCACAGCAACCTCCAACTCCTAGGCTCAAGCGAGTCTCCTGCCTCAGCCTCCCAAGTAGCCGGGACTACAGGC